GACCGCTGCCGCTCCGGCCCAGCGCGCCCTCCGAAAGAAGACATCTCTGGGGCGCAGCGCGGTGGTGCACGCATGGAATCCTGGCCCTCTAGGAGACTGAGGCAGGAGGATCACGGTTCAAGCCCAGCCTGGGCAACTTCGCACCTTAGCGCTGATCCACACGAGTCTTATTCAGTCAGCTCTGAACACAGAACCCAGGGCAAACAGGGCTGGGTCCAAGTCCTACCTGTGCCACCTGTGAGCTGTGACCTTGAGCAAGCTTTTTAACTTCCCTGAGCCTTGTTAAGTCTTTTGAAAAAAGGAGTTTGTAAAGTGCTTGGAAAATATAAGTAAATCCCAACACCTCGGGGCTCTGCTGCACTGTGACCTCTTTATGGGACAGTGGCCTTAAGCCCTTTCAGCTGCATGATCTGGGGGAAAGTTTCATAATTTCTCCAAGCGCAGGTCCCCTGAACACTGTGCATCCCAAGTGCATTTCCTTGTCAGCCCCAGGAAAATCCAGCCCCTTCGAAGGCCCTGCAACCCCCTGGTCTTGTCCAGGCCGGCCCGGCCCAGGGCAGGGGCAGGAGACCCATCACCACTGCTACCCATTGTCGGGCACAGCTCAGGGGCAGGGTGGATAGTCGCTTCGAGGCTCCTGTGGCCAAGCTCTTAGGGTAGAGGGAGGAGCCCGGTAGACAGCGGCCTCTTATTTTCTGTACCTGCAAAACGGGTTCCCAGAATGGCAGGGCTGAGGCTGGGAGGCGTCTAGACTTCGGATCACCCGATGCACCTGGCAGGGTGTGGCCCAGAAGTCTTCGCCTGGCCCTGCCTGGCTCGGCCCCTCCGTCCCCCAGGACAGTTTGGGAAAGGCCCTCAGCCCGGGCACCTTTCAGCTTCTGTCTGCAGGAGGGGTGCAGAGCCCAGCAGAGGGAAGCTGGAATGCCTGATTTTCCCGCTTCCCTCCGTGTGACCCAGGGGACAGTCACCATCACTGCCCCCATTGTATAGAACAGGGAAGTAGAGGTTAGGTCCCTGTCCAGGGTGACCCTCTGTCTGCTGCTCCGGGACACACGCAGCCTCGGAACCTCCTGCTGTTTTGAACGGACAGCTTCCCTGACAGTGGCCGAGCATGCTCTCAGGCTGCACACCCTCAGTACCCGTGGCCTTGGTTATAGACAAGCACAAGTGGCTTAGCATAGCTTGGGTGACCCGGGTGCCCGGTGCCCCACCATGGTGCTCAGGATCGCACCCAGGCCTCATGATGCCAGCCAAGCACTCTGACACTGAGCTGCGCCCCCAGCCCTTTTTATTTTTCATTTGTGAGGCAGGGCCTTGCCAAGTTGCCCAGATTGGCTCCTAACATATGATCCTCCTGCCTCAGCCTCCTGATTAGTTGAGATTACAGTTGTGCACACCTGCCCTTGGCCCCACGTGTTGTTTTTTAACCCCCAAATCCAGGGCACATTAATTTTCGGTGCTGGGTTATCCCAGCCAGGCAGCTGGGTAGGGATTCGGGAGGATGGAGGCACCGTGGCCCAGTCCTGGTTTGGAAATGGTCCAGGGCTCTGATTAGGTAGGAAACGGGTAGAATCTCACAATTCCTAAGCACCTGGGACATTCACACCCATGAGGGAAGAACACATTGATTTTAGCTGATAGTTGGCGTGGTAAACAGGACCCCGACCCCTGCTGCCGCCGAGTGCTTGCCCTCGGCTGCCCTGTGACGGACCGTGGGGTGCTGGTGGGCTGAGCTGTGCCCCCATCTTTGTGGGGCTCCTTGGAAAGAGGGTGGTGGAAGTCGGCCAGAAGGGACCAGAGACCCCTGCAGGAAGCTGTCCTGGAGACAGCTCCGCAAGGACCCCGTTTCCCAGGTGACCAGCCTTCTTCTGTCCCAGCGCAGGTGCCATGGCACACACGCCCGGGGACACCTGCCAGGTCCCACACAGCAGCAAGGCCTGCCGCCGCCTCTTCGGCCCCGTGGACAGTGAGCAGCTGCGTCTGGACTGCGAGGCGCTCATGGCCGGCTGCCTGCAGGAGGCCCGGCGGCGCTGGAACTTCGACTTTGTCACGGAGACGCCCCTGGAGGGCGACTTCGCCTGGGAGCGAGTGCGCGGCCTGGGGCTGCCCAAGCTCTACCTGAGCCCCGGGTCCTGTGGCGGCCGAGATGACGCTGGAGGGGGCAGGCGGCCCGGCCCTTCACCTGCCCTGCTGCAGGGGACAGCGGCTCAGGAGGACGAGGTGGACCTGTCGCTGTCCTGCACCCTCGTACCCCGATCCTGCGAGCAGCCCGAGGAGTCTCCGGGGGCGCCTGGAACCTCGCAGAGCCGAAAACGGCGGCAGACCAGCATGACGGGTGAGCGTGGGTACCCGGGAGGGCACTGGTGGGGACCACAGAATCCACGGCCTAAGGGACTGCAGCTTAGACGGAGCCCAGAGGCGGCAAGTAACCTGGGGAGGGCACACAGCAAGGCTTCAGCCGAGACCCACAGCTGAGTGTTGGGACAAATGGCAGGCCAGGCCCTGTAGTCTCTAAGTTGGGTCAGCTTGGCCCTGTGCACATGACGTCTGTGGCACCCCTGGTTCGGAGTCGTCGTGACTTGTGCGAGGTCCGCAGTGAGCTGGGAAGGCTGGCGCAGACCACCCTGTGCAGCCGGGTCAGCCTCCTCCCACCTCACCTTTGACCTGGGAGAGGGACCTGTGTCTCTGTCGCCGCTGCCAAGTCCCCGTGCGGTTTCGCAGGGTCCACACTGCCGTCGGGGGGCCCTGTGATGGCAGAAAGCCGGGTGCAGAGCCTCAGCTGGTCTGGCTGTCTGGCGGTGGCGTGGGGCCCCTCACACCCCCTGGGTGATGATCGGAGGTCCTGCCCGTAGGTGGCACTGTGTCCCTTGGCCGCGGTTTGTCTGGCCGGCCCCGGGCTGACACTGTCCTGTCCCGCAGATTTCTACCACTCCAAGCGCCGCCTGGTCTTCTGCAGGAGGAAGCCCTGACCTCTCGCCGGAAGCTTCGAGCTCCCAGAACCAGGGGAGCCCACCAGCCCCGACCACACTTGTACCTTCACCATCCACTTTGTGCGTCTTAATTATTATTCGTGTTTTAACTTAAGCTCCTCCTCATGTACATACCGGCCCCCCACCCCTGACCTGGCCTCTGACATTAGAATTATTTAAAAAACAAATTAGGTGGTAGAATGGTAGGCTCATCAGAGTGCTGGGTATTTTTATTATATGAAATGTTATTTAAAACCTTCTCTTCCTACGCTCTTTGTCCTCCATCTCCTGCGGATGGTGCGGCTGGCTTCGTGCCCGCTGTGCCCTCCTCTGCCCTCACCCACCGGGCGGCACTGACCGGAGGGACCCGACTCCCTCCTTCCCTCCGCTCTCCGGCTCAGCTTCTGCCCCTTCCCTGGATTCTCAGTCCTGAGTCCTCAGCATCTGAGAACTAAATAGATGATAGCACTTTGGAGGGGTCCAGCCAAGTAGGGACATGAACACAAACTTTGGGGTCCCCTCACCCCCTCTGGAGTTGGGCAGGTGACCATGCAGCAGGCGCGGCCTGTGACAGACACCTGTCCTGGCCTCGGTGCCCCGCTGTCCTGTGAAGCAGGGAAGATCAGGTCCTGTAGCAGCCCCACTCCCAGATCCCTGTGCCTCCCCTAGGGAGCCTGGCTCCCTCTGTACTCTTTGGGGGGTCCCAGCTGTCCCTTTCCCAGCTGGCTCTCAAGGCCCCTCTGCTGCTCTCCCTTCTCCCCAGTCCTTCATCTCCAGTACCCCGTTGTCTGTGAGCGGCAGCTGGGGCGCTTGTCCGTGGACACCCGTGGCGCAGGGCTCTCTAGTTCTATCTCGGGCAGCACAGCAGCACGGCCTCCCCTTTCACCTCTGGGGTGGGTCCTGGCCGGCCACACCGAACACCCTGTCGCCCTGTGTTAGGAGCGTGGGGTGGGGAGCATGGGTTTCCGGGACAGAGACCCCAGCCCCCGGAAGCCGTCGGCAACCGCGGAGGAACAGCTCCATCCAGGTCCTCCCTCCCCACCTCATTGCACTTTGAGTAGCAGCCGAACAAGGACTTGGACCAAGATGGTGGCCATGGAGACCATGGGAGAGGTGCCTGGTGGACTGACAGGAGCCTGGGGTGGTGGCAGCTCTGTCCCCGCGCGCTGAACGCTGATCCCCTGCAGGCGCCAAAGCACTCACTGGGGCTGACCCCAAACACCCTCTGGCTCCTGGCCGGGCTGTGCCTCTCTGCCCCAGAGTGACGTTCACCATCTCCACCTACGCTGTAAGCCTCTCGGGCAGTGCTGCTCTGTGTCCTTCAAGCCCTCTCACAGTACTGGGTACACAGCTGGTGCTCAATAAATATCTCTGGATGACGCTACTCGCAGTGTCACTGTTGTGCTCATTACACTTTGGCATTTATAAGAACAAATAGGTGAATGCTCAGGAGTTGTCAGCATAGGACACTTTAAATGTTCAGAAAGCTCAGCAGACAAAGACCTTGCAGCAGAATCAACACAAGCAAAGTAATCTATCATCACATCTCTGCAAAGATCACCAACCTGACAGTGGTGACCCAGTGATATTGTGTCGCACGTTGATGTATCCTGATTTGTCAGGTAGCCCTTTTTTTTTTTTTGGTAAAGTATCTTGAAGTTGAACATCATTACTCAGGGGAAATGCGCAAGCCAAGCATAATGCAATGTGCCTACATCAGCTACCGGGAGGCTTAGACAGGAGGACCACAACTTCGACCCCTAACTTAGTGATTTAGTGAGATCCTGTCTCAAAAAAATAAAAAGGGGTGGGGATGTAGCTCAGTGCAAAGGCCCTGGAGTCAATCCCTGATACTATGAAAATGCAACCATAAGGTAACCACTACATGCCTACTAGAATGTATAAAATGAAAAAGACTGACAATACTAAGTGTTGGCAAAGATACGGAACAACTGGAACTTGTGCATCAGTTACTTTGATTTTTTATTGTGGTGCTGAGGGGATTGAACCCAGGGTCTTGTGCATTTTAGGCAAATGCTCTACCGCTGAATTATGCCACCAGCTTGTTTCAATTTCTTTGAAAAACTAAGAATATCTTCCACCATAGATGCTTGTCCTTATACCTACCCTACAACTCAGTAAGTCTATTCTTAATGTAAGGTCCCTACATAAATGACATACGTCCACCAAAAGATACATGAAATGTTCTAGAGATGATGTCATAGGCCCAAACTAGAAATAACTGGAATGTCAATAACAAAAGAAGAGACTTAAAATTTTTGGTATATTTAGATAGTGGATCACTACACAATGCTAGAAAGAGGTCAGGCGTGGTGGTGCATCCCACAGCCCCTACACTCTGGGAGACTGAGGCAGGAGGTTCCCAAGTTCAAGTGCAACCTAGGCAACTTAGTGATTTATTGAAACCCTGTGTCTAGCTGAAAAATAAGATTGGGCTGTAGCTTAGTGAGAAGACCCTGGATTCAATATCCAGTACCAGAAGGAAAGTGGTGGTGCGGGGGAAGATGGTAGATCATTTACTTAACATGTAAGAGGCCCAGGGTTCAAAAGGGAGCAAAGAACTATTACATTACCGCTGTGGTATGGTTATCTATTCAATAATTAACCATCCCTGGGCTACATAGTGAGTTCAAGGCCAGCCCGAACTGCATAGCAAGACCCAGTTTCGACCAGACCAAACCAAACAAACCCCAAAACAAAACAACCATCTTAAGACTTAGTGGCTTAAACAATGGCTATTTGTTTGCTCCCCAGTCTTCAATTCAACCAAGAGCTGCTTTTCAGGCACTGGTAATTCCTCCGCTATTCAGGGCAAGGCCTTGACCCCAGCCACGATCTTAAGATGAGATTCTCCCTCTGGGGCCTCCAGAGACTTCTCGCTGTCACCTCCTCTCACAGATAAATGCAGAGCTGGCCTGTGTGACACAGTGCTTAGCCCATAGTACGCGCCTGCCACAGAGCCCTCTCTGGCTCTAAATTCCACCCCGGTGTGCAACTAACAAGGTCAACCCCTAGATGGGCCGGAGCAAGGCGAGACTACTGCTCCGAAGTCCAAATCAAAGTGGTAGGAACTTCCAGGAAGGTGGTGGAGGGGTGAACAGCAGAGAAACAGCGTCTCTGAGATTCTGTGTCCAGACACTGGACTATAAGACAGGAAGGAGGGATGTGGGTCCCAAGGATCCGACGTGAGGATTGAGGCCCACGGGGAGAGCAAGACGAGAGACTTCAACGAAGAAGGAGGTGGCAAGTGGCGCTTTCTCCCCGAGCCCTGACTCACTGCTTGGGAAGGCTGGCTCAACCCTGCAGACATGCAGCGACTGATGGTAACTAAGCCCAGAGGCCTCCATGGAGAGAAATCCGTGCCGTGGAGCAGTGGAGCAGTGGCTGGTGAGTTACTCAGGTTCAGGTGTTCCCCAGGAGAGGGCGATTGGCCAGTTACCGTCTTGGAGAGGGGCCGACTGAGCCTGGAACTCAGAGCAGCAGTAGGCTGGCTTATATATGGTTTGGGTGGTTACAGTTCATTCTCACAGTTCAAATCACAGCCACAGAATAGTTCATCCTTTCAACCCAGATGTAACAGTTTTTTTTGCCGTTGGGGACTTTACCTTTAAGATTGGCCTAGTTATCTGTCCTAGCCCATAGGAAGGGCGGGTGTTCAGGGTCAGGGGAGCCAGTGTTAGCAATGGGTTCTTGCATCCAGACACTCTTACGATCATGTGGCTCCAGTCTCTTCGGAGCTCAGGGTCTTGCTGTGCCCTGTTATCTCAGGGTCAGACCGAATGCCTCAGTCAGCAATTAGTGCTTTCTGGTGCCTTGTTAGACCTTCTGGTGTCTGAGCTAAACAAAACAAACGGCTGTTAGAGACAGCAGAAGCCATTCCACACTGTGACACATTATAGGTTTTTGCCATTTATAAAAGTTTTCCCTATCACTGTGAGTCCTGCTTTGTAAGGAACTTGCCACATTTCTCATGACAGCACGGCTGTCTCAGCCTTTGGACGCCCCCTGCATTGGCCAGAGCACAGCTGATTGGCCGGAGAGCTTGTGCACTTGTTCTCACAGAGAACACAACGATACTAGGTTTTCCCATGACACTGGGCTTTTTCTTGGTCTTTGGAAAGCGATGATGATTTCAACTGGCAGCAGCGGTGAAAAGAAGTCGCTGAACTATTGTCAAATGAACTTCTGGTTGTTTGTTGACAAGGTCCAACCCCCCTGCATGATAAAAACCCTTCAGAAATTAGAACGGATGGTCTTTATCTCAATCTGATAGAACCCATCTACGACAATCCAACAGCCAACATCGCACCAAATGGACAAAACTGAAATCTTTCACACTAAAATCAGGAGCAAGCAAAGATGTCCACTATCACCACTCTTACTCCACACAGTTCTGCAAACAGTAGCCGGGCAATTCCACAAGAGGAAGAAATAAAAGGAATAAGGGTCGGAAAGGAAGAAGTGACATTATTATTGGCGGATTACATGATGCTCTGCATAGAAGACCCCAATAACTCCACCAAATGACTTCTAAATTTAATAACCAAATTCAGTAGCACAGCTCAATACAAGGTCAACACTCAGAAGTCAATAGCCTTCCTGTACACAAATAACAAACTCACTGAGAGAGAAACTAAGGGAACCATACCCTTCAGAATACCATCCAAGGGCCAGGGATGTAGCTCAGTGGCTCAGTACCTGCCTGGCAAGCATGAGACCCTTTGTTCTATTCCTAGTATCCCCCCAAAAAATATATATATAAAAAAGAAACACCTAGTAAAAGACCAAGTAAATCTAACCAAGTAAAAGACCTTTACATGGAGAGCTACAGAATTCTGAAAAAGGAGATCAAAGAGGATATCAGAAAATGGAAAGATCTCCTTGTTCTTGGTTAGGAAGAACCAATATAGTGAAAATGGCCATACTTCCAGAATTGTTATACAGGTTTAATGCAATCCCGATTAAAATACCAATAGCATACCTCACAGAGTTAGAGGAAACAATCCTAAAATTAATTTGGAACCAGAAGAGACCTAGAATAGGAAAAGCAATTCTGGGCACCGAAGGCAAGGCAGGAGGCATCACAATCCCTGACCTGAAATTACACCACAAATCTGCTGTGATTAAAACCAGCGTGGTACTGGCAAAGAAACAGACCCAAGGATCAATGGAACAGATTAGAAGATGCAGAAACAACGCCAAACATTCTCAGCCACCTTACTTTTGACAAAGGAGCCAAACACCTTCACTGGAAGAAAGACAGCTTCTAATAAACGGTGCTGGGACAACTGGCTTTGCTGAGGACTGAAACCAGACTTGTGTCTCTCACCATGCACTACTCTAAAACTGAAACGGATCAAAGATCTGCCTACTAAAACAGAAACACTAAATCTGCTGGAAGACAGAATAGGGGGAGCTCTCAAAGGCGTGGAGTAGGCAAAGACTTAATGAACAAAACCCCAAAAGCAAGAACCAAGAAACATCATGCAAAGGTACAAGATCCCAATGATGAATGCAACTGTACTGTACACCTAAAATGGACCAGTAAACTCAATGAGAAAAAAATTGCACAGGAAATATCACAAAGAATCAACACCTGGGGTCTCATCTCTTTAAAAAGCATCTGCACAGCAAAAGAAACCACAGAGTGGGAAACTCAGCTACTCCCCCTCTTGGTATCTCCCCAAAAGAATTAAAAGCTTCCTTCCACAGCAACGTCTGCACACTTACGTTTATACTGCTGTCTTTTTTTATTTTATTTTATTTATTTATTTAGGTGCCAGGGATTAAACTTGGGATCTTTTGCTTGCAAGGCAGATGGTGGAACCACTGAGCTAAATCCCTGGCCCTAGAGCGGTACCGTCTGTAATAGCTAAATCTTGGAAACAGCTCAAATGCCCATCAGCTGATGAATGAATAAAGAAGACGTGGATTGTTTAAAACACAACAGAGTACTACTCTGCCATAAAGGAGGACGCGCTGGAGATATTTCTAGGTAAGTAGAAATAAGGACCGAAATGTATAATAGATATTGGGAAATGGGGAGAAAATGTTCAAATGGGAAGGGAGTCAGGGAGGGGGGTGGGGGGAAGGAAAGAAGGGATATGAAAGAGTGTGGAAAGCAGTGGAAACAAAGCTTTCGGAAACAAGGAGAAAAAGAGGGGTCAAAGGAGGGGAGAGGTACGGGAAAAAAGAAGAATCAAGATATATCTTGTGGAGGTGCGAATTCCCTATGACGAATGCTAGCGTTTTGTGTATCTACAGTGTACCAATAGGGGCCGGGGATTTAGCGCAGTGGCGCCGCCGCCTGCCTCATGAGTGCAAGGTCCTGATTTGGATCCCCAGTACCAAAGCATAAATACATACATAAATAAAATGTACAATAAATAAATATTTGCTTCAAAAAAAAAAAAGAAGAAGAAGAAGAAAAGTGGTACCAGGTATGATATGTCCAGCGTCCCTGATTAGTTCAATGGATCAGAGTTGGTTCTTTGAAAGGATGGGAAGGGATCCAGGGATGGGGGGAAAGCAGGGCACAGGACATGCAGATGGGTCAAGTTCTCGATGATGAGCGTCTTATATATATATAAAATGTGTGTGTGTGTGTGTGTGTGTATATTACTCTTTTTTGTTTGTTTGTTTTTTGAGACAGGGTCTCACTATGTAGTTGAGACTGACCCGGAACTCACTATGTAGCCCAGGCTGGTCTTGAACTCACAGTGATCCTCCTGCCTCAGCCTCCCGAGTGCTGGGGTTACAGGTGTGCGCCACCACGCCTGGCCAGAATTTTATTTAGAACCTTTTTAAAGGAGAAAGAAACCCTGTCAAGAGAGACCAGGTGGAAAATGGTTTCCCAATAAAATGGAATTTTAGGGCAACAAAAGTCTAAAACACCACAAAACAGAAATAGTATCACTGTTACTTGAACAATGGCTTGTTACTTGCAGTTTTTAGTACTGTTAATCACTGAATCTGGCTTTTTCCTCTGAATTCCACACAGAGCTTGCAATGCATAACAATTTTATCATAAAATACCTGTTTTCGGGCTGGGGGTTTAGCTTAGTGGTTCTGCCACCTGTCACGCAAGCCCAAGGTCCTGAGTTTTATCCCCAGTACAAAACAAAACAAAACAAAAACTTGTTTTCTACACAGGTTTTAGGACATGCTATCACCAGAAACAAATCAATGCAAACACATCAGCGCTCAATAATCTCAGTAACAGGTAGTGTACATTTTGTAGGATTTTGCCAAACAAAGGGGCTGAATGAGGGAGAGTTAAGGAATGAAATATTTTAATAATAATTAATTCAGACGTGGTACGGTATTTTCTACCAAAGAAAAAAATTTTTTTCCAGTACCAGGGATCAAATTCAGGACCTTTTGATGGCAAGGCAGGTGCAGTGCCACTGAGCTAAATCCCCAGCCCTCCAAAGAAAATTAACTCATTGGTGAATTTTGTCTCCAAAGAGATTAGCTCACTGGCAAGGCAGATACCGAAAACGCCCCACCCCGAGGACCCTGAGGTAATGACAGCCTTCACCCCTTGCTCCCTTTGCCAGAGGCCCGGCTGGAACATGTCAAGATCACCTGCCCGCTGCGTTTCTAATGCTAAGCAGCAAACTCAGGAGCCAAAGAGGAGTCCAGGGGGCAAGGGGAGCAGAGAAGAGGAGCATATCAACTCTGGATGTAAAAAAAATTAAAAAGGGCCGGGGATTTAGCTCGGTGGCACTGCGCCTGCCTTTCAAGCACAAGGTCCTCAGTTTGATCCCTGGTACTGGGAAAAAACCAAAACAACACCAAAACAAACCAACAAAAACTGTGGATGCAAGGACAACAGGGCAGGACACACTCCTATCCGAGTCCCAGAGACCTGGGCAAGTCCCCAGTAGTTGTTAGGTTACAAAACTGGGAGCGCCTCACTTCCCAGAGACACAGTGCACAGACGTTTCAGGGACAACTATAAAAATCATCGGAGAAATTCTCAATAAAAACTGAGCTGTTTGCCTCAAACATCTCAAGGCTGAGTATGCTCTATTCATCGAAGCAACCGTGCCTCTTGCATTCAGCAGGGGTGCAGTTGGTCAGGGATGTCAAATAGCAAAAAGCAACTTCTTAAATTTTCCTTTGACTATTCTAGAAAAGCCTAGGAAAGTCTAGAATCAGCAACACTCTTGCAAAGTGGTTTATATAAAATGGAGGTAGGAAGCTCTCCTACATGCTTCTGAGGGAATCCTTTATTTCTGCAGTTCCACCCAAAATGTGGTGTTGCCTCTGATTTACCAGCTGGGCCAGTGGGATAATTTTAGATACTTCTATTCTGTCCCTGGTGGGGTTTATATCTAGATGTTCCCTCAAATCCTCATGCACCAGTAGGTGGCGCTCTGGGGAGATGATGGGTGTGGGATCCTGGGCAGTCAGTCCACTGAGGGCTTATGTGATGTTGAGAGGTGAAGCCTGATTGGAGGTGGGCCTTTGGGGCGTGGCCTGGAAGGGCATATTTATCTCTCCTCCTCACTTGATCCCTCTCAGCTTCCGCTTCCTGTCAGCCCTCTGCCGAGATTCCAGGATCAGTTCAGCAGTGTGTGAAGACCAGGGGCAGGTGAATTTGCCCGGATGTTAATCCCGGGTCAGACGGAGAGCAACGCCACGAATCCTCCCTTATCTACCGCCCTCATCTCCCTCAGCCCCTCCCACACTGCTGTGCTTCTCTGACCCTGCTAATACCGAACAGCCAGACCGATAGCTTTTTTGGTGAATGAATTATTTCCTCCAATAGCAGGGACTGTACTTTCCACTTGGGCAGTACTAAATCCAGACTCTAAGTGCTAGTCTAGAGCAGGCAGGGGTGGGAAAACCACACTTCTGTGGCCCAGCTGCCTGTTTTTGTGTGCGTGGGTGGTTTGGGAACATAGACACGCCCAGCTGGTTATCGATTGTCTTGTTTTGTTTTGTTTTTTTGAGACAGAGTCTCACTATGTAGTTGAGACTGACCTGGAACTCACTATGTAGCCCAGGCTGGTCTCAAACTCACAGTGATCCTCCTGTCTCAGCCTCCCGAGTGTTGGGATTATAGGCATGCGCAACCATGCCCGGCTTAGTTATCTATTGTCTATGACTGGTTTTGCAATTTTTTTTTTTTTTTTTTTGCACTGTTGTTTTTTTGAGACAAGTTCTCGCTATGTAGCTCAGGCTGGCCTTGAACTCCTGCTCAAACTCCTGGTGATCCTCCTGCCTCAGCCTCTGGAGTATTGGAATTACAGTGTGCACCACCACGTGCAGATCCTGAGGAAGTTGAGCGTGGCCTCAGGTAGCCTCCCTTCAGGACACCCTCACCCTCCGCAGACTGGGAGGGCAAGGTTCTCAGCTCTATGCACCCAAATATCTCTGAGTGGGTCTCAGCATCCAGCCCTTACTCTGTGGAGGTCCTGATGCTGGTGCTGGGATAGGTGGCCTGCCAGGCTCCAATACTCTCAGTCAGATGCTGAGCCTGATTGATTGCTCATTCTGCCCTCCAGAAACAGGATCTCTTGGAATGCTACTCTGGAATTCCTCCTGGAATGCTGTTCTGAAATTCCTGTCTCCCTGACGTCTCTTCCTTCAAGGCTTCCGTCGCCAGCGCTGGACTCTCCGTGTCGCCCCCAGCCCGGCCTCCCCTCCGTCCTCCGCGCGCTGACGAGGGTTGGACCCTGGGATGCTGTACCCGCCAGGCTCCTTGCCACCTCCTCGCTGCCGGCACTGTCCCGAGGAGGGGTCTGTTAGAAGTCCGGCCTGCCTCCTGCGCCTTCTGGTGCCTTCTCGTTTTATTTTCCCTCCAGAAACATCAGCCAGAGACAAGAATGTGTGAGCAGGTGGTGGCTTCCCGGGGTCAGCGGACTGTGGGGAGCGAGGGCCAGGACACGAAGGTGGTGGCGAGAGAGTTCTGCTGGGCTCAGCTGTGGGAAGCGCCCTGGGGCTGCACCGGGTGCTTCCCCCTGACTGCGCCATGGCTGCTTTCCAGGGCCCAGCCGTGAGGGCGGGGAAAATCCCCACGCAGAGGGAAGGGGAGGCCTCAGCCTGCGGGGAGCCATCTCGCAAGGCCCCCAGACAGGGCCGGGAATGTGGGTGAGGCGCCAGCTGCCCCGGGCCCAGCCCTGCAGAAGCGGGGGCTTCCAGAAGTCGCTGGCCCTCAGCATCCGGACCGTGCCTGGTGCAGGGTGGGCGCTGGATAAAGGTCTGTCTAGGGAACCAGGGACTCGCTGCGGCTTGGATTTCCTCCCTGAGCTGAGCCCGGGTCTCCCAAACCCCGCCCCCAGGTCCCTGGTCCCCCGCGGCCCCTTTCAAGGATTCAGGGGTGGACCCTGGAGGTTTCTCCCTCAGTCCCCCGTCAGCTACGTGGACGATCAGCTGCCGTCCACGAGGGCTCGGCCACCGTCCCGGCCGCTTCTCGCGTGAAGAAACGGAGGCCTGAGCCAGAGTCACTGCCTGGGGTCGGCCCTGGACAGCGGAGGAAGAAAGCAGAAGTGCCCCAGGGGACAGCGCTGCGAGGAGGTTGGGGGCAGGGACCCCGCCCGTGCCCTCGGGGTCTCTGATGTAACCCAGGTTTTCTCAACCTTCCGGGAGCCCCACAAATGTAGCCACACAGTGAGCTCGCAGCTCAGGCTGCTCTGCTGAGCCCCTGCTGGAGATCTGGGAGCCCGGAGCTGGAGCCAGGGACCCCGGGGCAGAGTAGCTCACTTCAGGGTTTAACAGACTGTGAATCCAAACATCAGCCTCCACGCCAACTACATTTTTAATTTTTTTATTTTGAGACAGGATTTTACTAAGTTGCCCAGACTGAGTTCCAACTGTGACCCTCCTGCCTCAGCCTCCCAGAGTACTGAGATCACCCAGCATTTACCAGGACACCTGGCTATGAAGTTTCATTTCCTAGTTTAGAGTATTTAACTCCGTCCACACCGGATTTTAAAATCAGCCCTACTGTTTCCTAAAGCCCCAGATTTAACTTGCTTCGTGGCGCTTGGTATGAATGGCCAAGCTGGGCAGATTACTCCCCTGGGGTCTGGTGCTGGGTGCAGGCGAGAGCAGGCTGAGCTTGTCTACTTGCCCCACTGGGCACAGGCCCTGTGGGCTCTGCCACCTAACTGTCTCCAGAGTCCGCCTGCCTTTCCTCCCTGCCTCCCGCTGCCCACCTGGTCCAGCGTCACCTCTGATTTGAGCCCTGCTGTTCCGTGCCTCCACCTTTGACTTGCGCAGTCCTTTTCCAGAATGAAAGCAGCCAGTGGGATTCTTTTTGGCACAGGCCTGTAATCCCAGCACTGGAGGCTGAGGCAGAAGGATCTCTGAGAGTTGGAGGCCAGCCCAGGCTACACAATATAAATAAAATCTAGGCTGGGAGAGTTGGGTCCCCCTTTCCACCCCATGCATGACCACATTGCACTGGTCCTGGACTAGCACCCATCGTCCTTGAATAAAGTCTGCCTTCCTGTTCCTAAGAAAACAACACAGGAATCATTTAGAGAGCAGAATAAAAGAAGGATGATAGGAAACAGGAGGGGAGCTCTTTTGCAGATGAGAAAGGGACTTGGAGATGGGGCTGAGGAGAGGATAAGGGGGGAAGAAAAGTGAAGAGGTGTTTTGTGCACCCAGCAACTTCCACGAGGAATGGAATCGCCGTGTAGTGAAATCAGAGCCTAATACAAATGTTTTTAAATAAAAAAATTAAAAACCTGAATTGGACCATGTTACACTGAAAATAGCTTCCATCTTGCACTGGCATGGGGTGCTTACCTGACCCTATCTTCCACCCCAGTGTCCTCACGCTGTCCCAGGTCCACGGCACACACCTGCCACAGGCCCTTGGCACACACTGTTTTCTCCCTGCACACCTTTCCAGCTCCACTCCCTTACAGGTTCTATCCCAACACCACCTCCTCACAGGCCTCCCACAACTGCCCCTGTTATCCTAGTCCTTCACACTATTTCCTTTCTTTCTTGCTTGCTTGCTTGCTTTCCTTCCTTCCTTCTTTCTTTCTTTCGTTTTTTTTGAGACAGGGTCTCACTGTGTAGTTGAGACTGACCTAGAACTCACTATGTAGCCCAGGCTGGTCTTGAACTCACAGTGATCCTCCTGCCTCAGCCTCCCGAGTGCTGGAATTACAGGCGTGCATCATCATGCCCAGCTCTCTCTCTCTCTCTCTCTCTCTTTCTTTCTTTCTTTTTCGTTCTTTCTTTCTTTCTTTCTTGCTCTGTAGTTCAGGCCAGCTGTGAACTCACTATGCAGCCCAGACTGGTCTCACACTTTCAGTGATCCTCCTGCCTCAGCCTCCTGAGGGCTGGGATTACAGGCGTGTGCCACCTCTCCTGGCTGGTTCTCTTCCCAGCACTTGTCACTATTGGACGTTACATCACAGAAGTTTTCTTTTCACTCTTGTAGTCTCAGAAGTGAGCACAGTGAACAACACACGGTAGTTAGTGCTCAGGAAATTTTTGTTGAATAAATAAATAAATAAATAAATAAATAAATAAATAAATAAATGCCTTACCTTAGTTCAGTAACTCTCTTTACCTCAGTTTCTTCCTTTGTTTTTTTTTTTTTTTGTTACCTGGGATTGAACTCGGGTCCTTGCGCTTGCAAGGCAGGCCACCGAACCGCTGAGATAAATCCCCGGCCCAATTTCTTCCTTTGAAAAAGAGCAACAAGGGCATGATTTGTTACAAGAACATCTCTGTGCTTAGAAATTAAGCTTATTGTTTCAGGCATGGTGGTGTACACTTATAATCCCAACTACTTGGGAGGCTGAGGCAGGAAGATTGCTGCAAGTTCAAAGCCAGGCTGGACTACACAGGGAGACCTGATCTTAAAAATATATATATATTTTGCAGCAAAGCCAAACAACATATAATTTCAGGATTTTTTAAGAGCCAGGGATTTGGCTCAGTGGTGCCGCCACCTGCCTTTCAAGTGCAAGGACTCGAGTTCAATCCCCGGTACCACAACAAGAAAACCTAAAACCTGGACCCCCTTGGATGACATGGCTCATCGCAGGGCCTGTCCCTGTGCAGCTGGACCGCTCTGTCCCGATGTCCCGATGGCCGGGACCCTGTCCATGGACGAGGACCCGCGGCGGGGAAGGTTGTGAGGCCCGGTGACCAAGCTCCCAGACGGGGCCCACCACCCTGGGCAGTTCCCAGCCTGCACAACAGCGGGGCGCACAGGGCAGGACTGTGCAGGGGGCCGGGCTATGGACAGGAAGCGGCCCAGATGGGCCTACGATTAGCTGGTGGGGGCGGAAGGTGGTTGGGCAAGACAGCGTCGGCTGTTAACTGTCCCAGGGGCCTGGCTCCGGCCGCTGTCACCTCGCCAGGGTCGAGAGCGTGGGGCTGCGCCGGGGAGCGGCTGCCAGGTGCGTTTGCTCTGGGGGTGCTGGGCTTGGTCTGGAGGGGTCGGGAGGGCACCGGGCAGAGGCTGAGGCGGGGGTGCTGCCCCCTGGCTTCTTAGAGCTCAGCTTCCCGGCTAACGAGGGCGGGCGGGGTGGGGAGGGGACTCAGCAGGTGGCGGCTCAGCAGTGTCTGGGCCCCGGCTTGGACAGCGTGACTGTCCTGTGTGACACCTCTCTGTGACCGCCCTTCCTGCCTCAGCCTCCCCTGTCTGCCTGGTTCTCTGCCTGTGGACTGCGTGTGGCCGCTGTGGTGGAGGACGGGGGCGGCCAGGCCGTGGGGCTGGGGGCACAGGGGTCACCCAGGATGTGTGGCCGTGAGAGGGGAACCCCAGGGCCTGCTCGGAGGGCGATGTTCCGAGGGGTTGCTGGGGACCTCGGCACACAGAGGGGCCGCAGGGAGGGTGCGTGTGTGCGCGTGTGCGCGTGCAAATGGTGCGCGAGCGCGTGCGAAGTGACCC